CTTCTCCTAAAATCCACTTCAAGTTTATTTTCAGGTCAATTAAATCACAACCTTGGATTATTTAAACCGAAAATAACAATGTAAGCTGAATGAAATTAACTTAACATATAACTAGAGATCAAACTTTGAGGTTGTTCTTTAGCTCTTTCTGTTTTTGTGAGTATGCTTCTATTTCTGAACTGCAGATTGGACTTTTTCCAAGCATTTAAATTTTATTACACATTTACATTGCTAGTTTCCAAACTAGCAATGTTTACTTTGCTACTCAAACAGCAAAGTAAACATTTGCATGAAACTGAAAATTTTACAACTTCCTCAATGTGATGGAAAAACACACTGTGTTATCATTTGATTCAAGGTCAATAAGATGTGTGACAGGTGATTGGTGCACAAACAGTGAGCCCTGAGGCACACCCAGCGTTCGCAGCGTTTAAAAGGCGGGAGGCTGAGCTACTTCTGCATCCAGCCTCAGACTCCTGGACTCACAGGTAGCCTCCTCTCCACTCACATTCATCTCCTCTCTTATTGGTTTAATAAATTGCATTTATGTTCCAAGACTTAAACTTTTAACTCAACAACAAAACTCTGTTTAGATTTGGATTTTTTCAGGTCAGAAGCTTCCCCGCAGAGGAAAGGCAAGATGTTTGCAGTTTTCCTCTTCTTCCTTGCCATCTCGATGGCGGCTGTTCCTCTGGTAAATTTGAAGGGAGAAAAATAAAACTAATTTGTTTCATCCAACACAGGGAAGGTTGATGTGTTTAGAAAAATTGTGTTTGTAAAGCAGGATCAACAGCAAATATCCAAACTGTTGTGAAACAGAAGAAATGTGTTTTGTCATAAAATGCTAAAATCTCTGTTTGTGTTGCAGAAAGCAGATGACAGTGAAAACCAAATCGGTGAGTAGAAAAAATGAAAGAAACCTGAAGTGAACCTGAAATCTCTTAACGTGGGGATTTCTTCCTTCCTCCCACAGAAGAGAGCACGGACGTCACGGATGTCATCTCCAAAGCAAACGCTGGAATAAGTAAGACAGCAATTTCACACAACCCAACAACTTCGAATGTAATTTCATATTTACAAGTCAAGACAAAAAAAAAAAAAAAGAAAATCATCATCTTTTAATAAATCGGCTGATTTATTTCTTAAAAATTAGCTTAATGGTTTGCCTTTGTCAAATCTTCAGGCATGATAAGAAACTGGGTATTTTTTCATCTGTATTTCAGATTAAAAATAAAATAGTTTGCATATTTTCCCTACATTTCATTAGTTACTTTATTGAAATATTAAGAAAGTGATCAATCTGTTTATTTGCAATCTGTACAATTTATTACCAGGATAGCAAAGCATTTTAAAAACATTGTAATAAGGGGAGGGTAAAGTAATTTTATTTATACAGCACATTTTCATTAACAGGGCAGTTCAAAGGTCTTTACATGAATTAGAAACAAAACAACAAAACTAAAAGAAAGACAAAAAGGTAAAAGTATGAAACTACATATTGGTTCCTCATGTTTAATAAGAATAAGAATAAGTAGCAGTAAAAGACTTTGTAGAGTCCTGAGAGCTGAATACAGCCAACTGGAGCGCTTACATTGGCCAATTCAACACAGTATGTCTTGTTTAAGAGGCAGAGCTCAAAGAAATAGGAGTTTATGAAAATGCTTTGGTTCATAAGAATAAGTGTTTATCACTCTTTTGTGGCTCTGCAGAGACTCCACTGATCTACGGTGACATTGCTCCGAGCAAATCGAGGAACGCAGTCCCATGCACAGCCACCGGCTGCAAATGGCCCAAATCTGGAGACTATGTCTACATTCCCGTCTACATCTCCTCCTCATACAGTGAGCACAACCAGCACCTGAATTCAAAACTTTAAAATAGAAACAAACTCTTACATGCTTCTTTGTGTTTTTGTCAGAAGACAGAGGGAACAGTAGATGATGTCTGTGTTTTGTAGTTAGGACGTTGGTGTAAAATGTTTTTTGTGTTTGTTTTTGCCCTGCAGCCTCAGCAGAGCGTAACATCATCATCCGAGGCCTGGTGAGCTTCCACTCCTCCACCTGCATTCGCTTTGTCTGGAGGACGAGCCATGTGGACTACCTTTACTTCTACTCTGGAACCGGGTAGGAACGCAGTCACACACTCACATGCTGAGACTTTTACTTCCACACGTTTCCACTGATCTCCTCCTGATCTCCCCGCCAGGTGCTGGTCCTACCTGGGCCGTCAGGGCGGACTACAGGCCGTGTCTCTGAGGAACAATGGCTGCCTGTACCACTCCACGGTGCAGCATGAGGTCAGCCACGCTCTGGGCTTCCACCACGAACAGGTCCGCTCTGACAGAGACTCCTACGTCCAGGTCCTCCCCCAGAACATCATCCCAGGTCGGCTCACTCACACAAGCGGGGCTTAATACTTCTATCTGCAGAACATCTTCAGCAAAGAGGAGAGCATATGGTTAGACCTGAAAACAAAAGTATTTTAAACAAGTCATAGATTTCTGTATTTTCCACATTTGGACAGAAACTCTTTGTATTTGAGTCCATTCAGCCATTCATAGGGGACTTAACACTTTCAAATGACCTAAATCAGACAGAGAACTCAGTGGTTTTTGTGTGGGGAGTTTGGAAACTGACATTTAAACTGTGAGATCACATTGCCTCATGTTCTACTTTTATCTATTGCAATGGACATTTTCCTAAATAAAGTGACAATTTACAAAGTTACATTTTTTTCTTAACCAGGGTACGAACACAACTTTGAGAAGATACAGACTAACAACCTGGGCACTCCCTACGACTTCAACTCCGTTATGCATTACACCAAGTGAGTCTTTCTTCAAAATGACCTTCTGTTGTGCTACACCAGGCTTGTTGTTTTCAGCCTGAGTGCAGATGCATTCTGTTCATCACTTCCTCCTTCTTCCAGGTATGCCTTCTCCAAAAACGGCCAACCGACTCTCCTTTCCAAAGCTAATCCTTCCCTCGACTTTGGAAGGGCCACATCGATGAGCGCCAACGACATCGCCCGCATCAACAAGCTCTACGGATGCAGTGAGTAAAATATTAAGCTTTTTTAAAATTTCTCTAGCATTTCCAGGAGCTCGTGTCATTTACAGTACTTTTTCTCTCAGCTTAAATTTCAACAGACTAAAGGAGAAACTTCAGCTCGCCAGCGTTACCCGGCTCTGACCTGCTCCTCACAAAATCTCATCTCAAAGCAGCAGAAACTCTTTTTCTGCTGTCTCATTTACTATATATCTACATAACTACATAACTGCTGAAGACAGTTGTCTCTTACAGAAAGAAGCAGATTTTTGGATCAAATTTAAAGAAATATGCTGCAGGTTCTCCTGCTGGACGAGTGTGGTATTACATCTCCATCTGCCAACTTCAGAATACATATTGGTGTTTATCGGTGAAGGATTTCTTAACAAAAAAGTTTTTCTTTTGGGTTTGGATTGGCTTTCTTCTTCTTTTTTGCATCTACTATAAAAAATGGAAAGGAATGTTCCAATTGAAAATAAATCTAAGGGTAATTTTGATTAAGTAAATTATGTTGTGGCATACAAACTGTGGAAGATGGATTGGACTGGTCCTAAGATGTCTCAATAAAAGTCAATTTTTCAAGAATGTACAATCTATGGGAATGCAAAATGTAAAAGTTCCCCAATCACATTTGACCTAAATAAATGTTTTTATCAGCATAATGTTACAAGAGCTCATCCCACATGTTTGGTTCTTGTGACCAACATGTTTGTTTTCTGAGATTTAATGATGTTGTAATCCACTCAATCAAATACAAAATAAAATGTGATCATTCCAGCATCAATGTTTCTTTTTTCTCTGTAACAGACGAACATTAGGGATGAAGATCAGGGTTTCCTTTGTGCTGCAAATCCACCACAAAATAAAAGCCTTCACACATTCAGTATGAAGTTGTTTTAAAAACAAATGTAATGTAAAGCATATGATATAAATAAAAATATATATGCATAGCCTATATTTATGCACTTATACTAACCATAATCAGAGTTTTAAATGAGTTTAAATACAATGAAATGTTAATTCTTACTTTATTTTGAAGTAAGAGTTAACATGTTTGTGACGTGTGAGACAGATGAGCAATGAAAAAAGAAATAAGTCCATCTACCTCCTTCCAGAGCTGCTATTGCCATCTGAAGAAATGTCCTGCTTCTGGTCAAAAACAACCAATCAGAGCCAGGAGGAGGGGCTTAGCTCTGCTAATCACCCTCCTGTACGCTGCTCAATCTGCTAATGGTGGAAAAACAACTTAAAGTTACAGGAAAACTGTTTATCCGTCGTCATCTGTGGCTATGCTAACTAGCAGGCTATGTTGTGGTGAACCAACTGTAGCTTAGCAAAAAGCAAGTGGATGAAAGTGATTGACAGCACTAAGACCCTCCTCCTGGCTCTGATTGGTTGTTTCTGACTGAGTGGTTTGTTTCTGCACAGGATCTCGATTTTTGCACAGATTATCTGTCTGATATGATACTGTCAGAACATAATGATAATATTAACAAATATGTAAAAATATTTTTTATATAAAAGTTACATTCTGGAGCCGTAAGTGATGAGTTACTGAAACTTTCGTCATGAATACTCATGTTAGAAAGGATGTAGCTTTTAATTTGCTAGTTGAGATACAGAAAAGCTGACTCACAAAATGCCACTGTGCCTCATAATATTAACATATTTCTGTTCTGCATATGGTTAATATCATGCCCTCCCTGCACAAATGGGGGTAGAATTAATAATAATAGCACAACTACGTACAATAAAAAAACAGGCAAAGTAACAAAGATAAAATAAGCAATAAAAGCAGAACAATAGTAACATAGCCGTCCTAATCCTCCAGCTCCAAGACTTAAAAACAGGAAAACAAATGAGTTTTCAGAAGAGATTTAAAATCACCCACATTTCTGGGAGAAAACAGCCAAACATTTGGGAGAGCTAAAAGCATTTTGTTTTCAGATGGGATTCTGTTTCTTTTCCATTTTATATTTTATTTAGTGACTTTGTAGACAAAGATCTGCTTCTTTATAAACAGCAGCTGGACATTCACATGAGCTGCATGTCGTTAAAAACTGCTACATTGTGCAAAGACAGGACCAAACAAACAGTAACATATTTCAGCAGCAACTTGTAACATCATTGGTTTATTTTAGGAACAGATTGTCTAGTTCTGGATTGATCTCATCTGGATTAATGACGGATATAAAAAGCTTGGTCAGCGTTTTCTTGTGTCAGACTGGATCTGAGCCTCAGCTGCTCCTTCAGGTAAACGGCTCTCTGACTCTTCTTTAACTCTCATTTCTTTTCTTCATCATGTTTACATGTGTCGGCTTTTAACCTGAAACAAAAAGAAAACATATTTTCATTACATTGAAACTTCAGGACCTTCATCATGATCCCGGTTTTTCTGTCCCTCCTCTTCATCTCAGTGGTTAAAATGGTAAGTTCATGACGTTTTACTGATTCACCTCACAGCTTAGATAAAATTGAAGATTTAAGAAAGGCTGAGCTTGGTTTCAACAATAAGTTTCAACATTTAAAAGATTTAGAACAAAATGATTTTTGATTCGTTTGCCAACAAACATGCAGCAAAGCGTCACCAAAATGATGCATTTTTCTTACGTCTGTGTTCCAGAGTCCGGTAGTAGAACCGGCTCAGTTTCCCAGTGAGTTTGAAACAAAGATCCTTTTTATCTGACACATCAAATGCATAAATTTAACCAAAGGTTCTGGCAACATTTCTTTCTCAGAAGAGTTTATGGATGTCTTTAAAAGCGTCCCACAACTACAAGCTGACAAAGGTGAGACACAAGCTCACAAAACAAAAAAAACTAGCAGATAATAATAAGAAAAAATGATTATTTTAACAGTAATCCTTAAAATAACAACAAATACGCATGTTTTTGATGTCAGATTAATTTGAAATTGCAGTCTTGTTTTTGCAGTCCTGTCTGTGTCTGCGTGTCATTTGCTGTGTTGCAGAGCCAAAGCGATATGACGACATTGCTATGCCAAAAATCTTAAAGAGGAATGCTGACCCGTGCACCATCACAGGCTGCAAGTGGTTCAAATCTGGAGAGTTCGTCTACATACCGTTCTACATCGACACTAATTACTGTAAGCGTCATGTGAACAAGACAAAAAGACTTACAGCTGAGGTCAAGTTGACCACACCCACTGCTGAAACTTTACGCTTTTTCAAACATTTCCCAAGTGCTGTTAAACAGATCAATGATTTTTCAGTGTGACTTTTCCAAACATCCTTCTTTTTATTTTGGATTCTTACAATTTTTTTTTCACAAAAACCCAATTATTACCCCCCATAAGAACTGGCCTTTTTATTTAGCCAAAGCGCAGACCACTGCTGTGAAATCAGGTGCTTTCACTTGTATTCAATCAATGACCAATAAAATTCTCATTAAGGCTTTGAGCCGTCACTTGAGGAAACATCGCGCCAAAAACAAAATAATTCAGTTTAGACTTGACAAAAAGAAATAGGTGATGCTCACAAAGCAGGAGAAGAAAATGTAAAGACTTGCTACAGACTACAAAACGTGACTGAATAGAGCAATGACTCATTTTGTCTGTGGAAGGTTTTGATTTTCAGGAAAGAATTTGGTTTCTGTGAGCAAAAACTAAATAAATGTAAGCATCCAAAATAAACAGAAAAGCTGAATTTAAAAACACATTTTTGAATCTTTGAAAAAAACTTAGAATTTTATAGGGTGCCTAATAATTTTGACCTTATCTGTATTTTTAGTAATATAGGTACTAAGTTTTTTTTTTTTTTTTGCAGCTCCGGCAGAACGAAACAGAATCCTTGGAGTTCTGGAAAGATTCAACAGATCCACCTGCATCCGCTTTGTACCGTTTAAAACGAAGAATTCTGATTACCTTTATTTCTATACTCGACCTAACGACGGGTAGGAACATGAACACACACACACGCGCGCACACACACACATGCACACACGCACCTTCGTATCTCTATTTTCTTTGCTGGGACTTTTACTTCCATTCTTTTGAGCATTCTTGTTTCCAGTGTTGTTTGTTTCTTTATTGTTTATTTTATTGTTTAAATTCAGTTCTGAGTTTATTATTTTATCTCTTTGGGTGTTCACTTAGATTTTGGGTTATGATTTGGTTACTTCATTTAGATTTTGTCACAATCTTCATGCCCAAAATCCTCCAGTTACAAACCAACCTGCTGTGATCGCTGGCATTTTTATTATCTCCATCAGATTCTGCTTATCGATGTTTCTGAGGCCAGATGAGAAACACGAGACGATGTTTCCCTTTTGTCCTACTGCTTCACTTCCTGCTCCTGTTTTTGCTTCATTCTTGTTTCACAGTCCTGTTTTATTTGTATCAGGAGAGGAGGTGATAGGATACGAGTTTCAAGTCATAATTCGGTTCAGTGAACCAAATTCTTCAAAAGACAAGATTATGACTAATAATTATCAAAAGGACCAAAATCATCAAGTCAAAAGCCCTCACAGATGAAGAAAAATAAATAAAATGAAGCAAATAAAGTTGTTAATTTTTGTGGAATTTTTTGTAGGAAATAGATGTTATTTATTGTCGATGACAAACTTCAAATTTTGCAAGTTTGCTGTGTTAAAGTAAAGACATCCAGTTTTCAGTTTCTTTTAAATTTATTCTCAGTCATAAAAACGGGATTTGGGACACTTTCTTTCAAGACTCTTGCCATATTTAGCTGAGTTTAATAGATTCAATAACAGCTGATCTGGCTACCGCTGGATTGTCAGTAAAAGTCTCCAGACAGACGCGGTTCTACTTATTATAAAAGTTTAGTTGTGGAAAAAATAATAATAACTAAAAACAAAATATTTGTGCCATTATTAACATTTTCTGTTTAAGAAGATATAAACTTAGCATTGAAAACATCATCCTAAAAAAATTACAAATTGGAGTCGGGGCCAAACAAAATTAATACAAGGACGGCGAACGGCCCCCGGGCCACAGTTTGGACACCCTGTTCTAGAATAAGCCTTTTAGATTTCTGACTTATAATGATCAAACGACGGCAGAAACAGCTAGCCGTTAGCGGTTAGCGGTTAGCTCTGTGTGTGCCTGTGTTTGTATTCCAGGTGTTGGTCCTACATTGGCCGTCAGGGAGGAGGCCAGTTCATCTCTCTGGAGAAAAATAAATGTCTGCGAACCTCTACGGTGAGCCACGAGGTCCTTCACGCTCTGGGCTTCAACCATGAGCAGGTCCGCATCGACAGAGACCAATACATCCGCGTTTTATTCCAGAACATCAAGCCAGGTTGGTAACATCTGTTTCGATATAAACAGATGGTCCATTTGAATAAGTTGGTTTCAGTTTAGTTGGTGTCTCCTGTTTCTGTTCACACTGTAACAACAACATGAACTTTTCCTGTTTGCTCTTTCACAAAGAGCAAAAGTTTAACTTTTGGAAGGTAGAGACCAACAACATGGGATCTCCTTACGACTACAACTCTGTCATGCATTACAAGAAGTAAGTCTTTCCCATCATGTGAGGGTTTTTTATTTAAAAAGAAAAAATGCTGACACTTATATTTTCCATGAATGTTTTGCAGGTATGCCTTTTCCAAAAACGGGCGGCCAACCATCGCTGCCAGGTCTCGTCGAGTCCACAGCTTTGGAAACTCATACGGGATGAGCAACACTGACATCAACCGAGTCAACAAACTTTATAACTGCAGGGAAAAATAAAGCATGAACTTTTACCATTTCTCAAAACAAAAAGAAATATTCTAACAGAAGGTTTTTAACACTAATCATTTAACGTCAGTGTGAACCAGAAATGATCAAACTTAGTTTACAGAAACCAGGAGTTATTTTATCTTTAACTAGTTACATTTACTTTATTATGAGTCACGTTTTCGAAAAATTTACTTTTATTAGTATTTTTACTACACTGCACTTTTTACTTTTACTTGAGTAACTTTATTATGAAGTATCACTACTTTTGCTTGAATAAAATTAAGTCTCAAAAATAAACATGTTTTAAAATTCAGCACTGCAGTTTTATTAAAACAAACTGATTTGGATAAATGTTTTGTTGCCAGATTTCTTTTTGTTACTTATATGAATTATTGTCATCTTCATCCTTAAAATACCAAAACTTCCACTTAACTTTATACTTTGACCGCCTGATGATGATGTAGCTTAAATATGAAATGATTTGATTACTTAGTACTTGAGTAAACTTTTTACTTTTTTATTCTTAAGTAATTTCTGGGATGGCTACTTTTAACTTTTACTTAAGTAAAAATATCTTTAAATATTGCTACTCTTACTTGATTACAACGTTTGGGAACTCTGTCTCTCTAATCTTAGTTTATCTTCCATTTTTCCACAGCCTATTGCTGTGAAACATATTGATTTTTCTGTTTTTTAGTCTGAAGCATAAATCATGTTTTGCACATATTTAATGCTATAGATATTTTTGAAGAGTTGTGTGAACAAACACATTTTGTGATTCTCATGCACTTTATTTTAGCTACATTCAGTGGAAATGCATCATATTTTCCTGAAACACATTTTAAGAAGGTGTGACACGACGTTCTCATCACTGCCTCTGATAACATCTTTGCATTAAAAAGCTATTTTAGTTCCTGTTTGTTTCAGCAGTTTGCTTTCTGCATGTTCAACTTCTTTCAATAGGGTTAGGATGGGATTTTTTTAATCAATCAAATTTATTTGTATAGCAAATTTCAGCAACACGGCAGTTCAAAGTGCTTTACATCACGAAAACATAAGAAAACATCATAAACACATCATTTAGTTGTGGAAACTAACAACAGACATTACATTTTGTCAGGCGTCGTCATTAAAATCATCATTACGCATCAAATATGTTGGGCAATGTTCCATTTAAAGCAGCTGGGCTTTTAGTCAGATTTAAAGGAACTCAGTGTTTCAGCAGTTTTCTGGAAGTTTGTTCCAGATTTGTGATGCATAGAAGCTGAATGCTGCTTCTCAACCTCTGGTTCTGGTTCTGGTTCTGGTTCTGCTCTGCATCCTGAACCAGAAGACCTGAGAATGATTTCTAAACTAACAGTGTCTTAAAGTTTATGTTCTTTCTGAACCAACGGTGCCGCCGGTTCTGCTGAAAACCTCAGCAGCCAGCCGCCCTCGTCTTCTGGACAAGAACGAGTTTTTATTTTCTGTCCCTTTTTCATCCTGTTTTTGGACGTGTGGACATTTTGTCTTCACAGAGTGACTGCCAGTAGTTTTAACAGAGACTGTTTGTGTAATAATCCATCTGTAAAGTTGGGCTATTTTGTTAATAAATTCTGGGAGTTGATTAGAAGTAAGTGATCGGTGATCATTCCTCCTCCTGCTGCTGGTCTGAATTCATTCCTTAATGAGAGACTAAGATTGGCTTATGATGCCAGAGATTCTGGAATTAGTGATTCAATTCAATTAAAAAAACTTGAACTTTATTACTAATTTAATTAATAATAAATTAACTGTAATTAACTGATTATATAAAGCAGACATTGATGAACTCTGATCCCACCGGGGCTGAATGTGGCTGCTGCTCTTTGTACGATGCTCTTTATTATTAATGCATTGTTTTAGAGTGAAACATGTTTGAATGGCTGAAAATAAGGATATAAACAATGTTAAGGTTTTTTACAATATATACAGGACTAAATTGATTCAGTTAATGTCCCTTAATAGATTAAAAATAATTTGAAAATGACTTTTTCTATTTATTCAGGTTATTTTCTTCTGATAGGA